ATTAGATCCTTGCGATAAGTTCCAAAGATCGGCATCCGAAACGCTTTTATCCAAAAGGATGGAGTATTGCTTTAAGAATACGGCTGATAGTTCGTCGAAATTGCTGATCGAACCCGGCTCTAATTGGGTGAACCACATTAGAGCTTGGCCACATAGATTCTCCGAAAAAAGCTTGCAGTAGCCTGCGTCCTCATCAGCTTCATCCAATTCGATCTTCCAGCAGCGATCAGAAAAGCTGCGAGATAGCTTTTTGGATCCTCCAATCCGCTGTAAGGGTCCAACTTGAGTTTCCGGGAATCTTTGATCCTCAAACTTGCAATTCGCGAGATGAAAGGTGTTCGCCTAGCCTCTTCAATGACTCGATTGATGTCTGGCTCCGAACTTGTAGCTTGATGAAATTTTGATTTCATTTCTTTTAATTCCTGGCTAACCTTCCTCATGGTCTCGAACTGGTCGAGGTTCTCCTGCTCGTATTGAGCTGCAAGTTGTTCTTCATCTCCGAGCTGTGTCTCTTCTTCCAACGTCTGAGCTACATTATTAGTAGCACCAGGAGTTGTTTGTCCGCTGGTTTCATTTCGTGCAGCGGAACTTGGCGAGTTGAATATCCCTCTTCGGATTCCCACAAGGTTTCCTGCACTTAAAGAGCGAACACGAGTTTGTATAGTATTGACGTTTTGACTAAGAGATACCTGGGATGTTTGCAACGTATCGACGGCCTTTTCCACATCCGATAACTTTTGTGATATGTCCGACATGGTTTGCTGCATAGCTTTGAGGGTTTCGGCCAATGATGTCTCAATGGCGTCTCCTCCGGACATTGTTGCTTATCTCGGAAATGTAGTAAAGAAAAAATCTGACCACTCAAGAACTCTCTCTCCCCACAGACGGCGCCAAAATGTGGATGTCGGATTCACATACTCAAGTATTTTATTAAGTAGGAAAGATTATTCTTAAGGGACAAAAATGAATAGGTAAAAACTTCTAAATTGCTACGAAAATTGCTATAGTATTTCTTTCTTGAGAGGAAGCCCCTTTTTACATGGCCATTGGCCTTTTATTTATACATAGAGAAACGACATTAAACTGAATAATTAAGTACAATTATTCCTTCTTAAATGTGTCAGTTTTGATTCTTCGACTTTAATGCTCAACGTTTGAATTTTGAGTTGACTCTGATCTTCATGGGCCTCGCCTTTTTGGCCCAAGTATCCTTGAACTGACTTACCCGTGTCTTCTACACCGAACTCGTGCCACAGTGCAGTCACTTCGGATTCTCGAAGTGGTGATAACCACTTCGACCGTTCCTTCGGCTCATGGGTTCAATGGGCTTTGTCCTTTATAGGCCATTACCTTGACTACGTGGCAATCTTTGGTTGGTCTCGGACTTCTGGTGCGGGATCCGACACCAACACGTAGGTCCGTGACGAAAGTTTATACTGTGACATCCATAAGGTAACCGGGCATTTGACCAAAGATTGCAGCGTCCTTATAAGGCATCTCGCGGAGCTATGGGCCAGTGGAGATCTTTCCAAATTCAACATAGAAAATTTCGTGAAAGAATACCACGAAGCAAGGGATAGCACCAAAGATCAGAACTCCAAGAGACCAAGATTTTCTAATGAAGAAGAACCAAGGAGTTCGAAGGGAAAGATCAATGTAATTCTAGGAGGTTCCAAACTTTGCCAAGATTCGATTAGTTCCATCAAGAAGCATAGGCGAAATGTTTCACTGCAAGCGAACTTGGGCGAAGAAGTTGACTTTCAGGTGCATCAATATCATCTGATGAGGAAGAAACGCGTCACCTCGAAAGACCCCATGATGACGCCCTCGTCATTACCCTGGACGTTGCCAATTTCGAACTATCAAGGTTCCTCATCGATACGGGCAGTTCGGTCGACTTAATCTTTTTAAGTACTTTGGAAATAATGGGAATTAGTCGGGCAGACATAGTAGGACCTCCGTCTCCTTTGGTGGCGTTCACAAGTGAGTCAGCTATGTCTCTCGGTACGATCAAGCTACCAGTTCTCGCCAAAAAGGTGTCGAAAATCGTGGATTTCGTTATTTTCGATAAACCGGCAGCTTACAATATCATCCTCGGGACTCCATGGATTTATCAAATGAAGGCAGTCCCCTCTACATATCACCAGTGCATCAAATTTCCAACACCAAGTGGAGTGGAAACAGTTCGGGGAGATCAAGAAGCTTCGCGAACATGCTACTTAGCTAGCCACCGTTTGAAGATCCAATAGCAATTAACGAAACCCGCAAAAAAGGGAATAATTCCAAGATTTCCTAGTGGGCAGAAAGAGGATGATGTAGTAACCGAGGTAGTATTAGAAGAAGACAAATCAGATCGGAAAATCCGAATTGGAGTTACTTTGACCGGCAAAATAAAAGAGGCTTTAATTGAACTTTTGAGGAAAAACAAGACATCATTTGCGTGGTCGGCGACAGATATGCCTGGCATAGATCCAGGCATAATTTTTCATGAACTTAACGTGGATCCGAGCTTCAAACCTGTAAAACAAAAAAGGAGAAAACTCGGAATAGAGCGGGCAAAAATAGTAAATGACGAAGTGGACAAACTTTTAAAGATAGGATCCACAAGGGAAGTGCAGTATCCGGAGTGGGTAGCGAACACTGTCGTGGTTAAAAAGAAGAATGGAAAGGACAGGGTATGCATTGACTTCACGGATCTCAATAAGGCGTGTCCAAAGGATAGTTTCCCGCTTCTGCATATAGACCGGCTCGTAGAATCTACTGCTGGGAATGAACTATTAACCTTCATGGATGCCTTCTCGGGTTATAATCAAATAATGATGAATCCCGAGGACCAGGAAAAAACGTCATTCATCACAGATAGAGGTATTTATTGTTATAAAGTAATGCCTTTTGGTTTAAAAAATGCAGGAGCAACTTATCAACGGTTGGTCAATAAAATGTTCCACGATCATCTCGGGAAGACAATGGAAGTCTACATAGATGACATGTTGGTTAAGTCGTTGAAGAAAGAATTTGAAATTGTCATGAGCGAAGTACACGAAGGGTTGTGCGGGAGTCATTCGTCAGGAAGAGCTATGGCTTTTAAGATTAAAAGAATGGGGTGTTTCTTGCCCACTATGATCACGGATTATGTCAAATATGCCCAAAGATGTAAGCGCTGTCAACTTCATGCACCATTGATCCATCAACCTTCGGAATTATTCTCTTCCATCTCCGCCCCATATCCGTTTATGAGATGGTCAATGGACATCATTGGACCATTGCACAGATCAACTCGAGGAGTACAATACCTTTTGGTCTTGACGGACTACTTTTCAAAATGGATTGAAGCTGAAGCATATGTTAGCATCAAAGATTCGGCGGTTAATACATTCCTTTGGAAAAATGTCATATGTCGACATGGGGTTCCATATGAGATAGTTATTGATAATGGACCACAGTTCATTTCGCATGAGTTCGAAGCTTTTTGTTCGGACTGGGGAATCAAAGTCAGTTACTCTACCCCACGATATCCGCAAGGAAACGGCCAAGCCGAGGCCGCGAACAAGACGATTCTTAGCAATCTCAAAAAACGCCTGAATCACCTGAAAGGAGGTTGGTATAATGAACTACAACCCGTCTTGTGGGCCTATCGCACAACTCCTAGGCGGTCTACTGGGGAAACTCCGTTCTCTCTGGTTTATGGTATGGAGGCGGTGGTACCAGCCGAGCTTAATGTACCCGGACTTCGCCGAGCAGAAGCACCATTGGATGAAGAAGAGAACACAGCGATGCTTGATGACTCGCTAGATACCATTAATGAAAGGCGGGATCAAGCCTTAATTCAGATTCAAAATTACCAGCAGGCAGCAGCTCGATACTACAACTCTAAAATCAAGAGTAGGCTTTTCTTTGTAGGAGATTATGTGTTAAGGCGAGTCTTTGAAAATAAAAAAGAAGATGGTGCGGGCAAACTCGGCATTAATTGGGAAGGGCCTTACATTGTTACCGAAGTGGTTCGAAATGGTGTTTATAGGTTGAAAGACTTAGAAGACAGGCCAGTCAAGCGACCCTGGAATGTGATCAATCTAAAGAAATTTTATGTTTAAGATACACGCATTTTTTATGTACATGAACTACGGTGTGGCTTGATCCTGGAATGGGTACGTAGGCAGCTCGGAAACGAGTTCAGCTATTAATAAAATTTTGTTTTTATTCATTTAAAGGAAAAAGTTCGACTATGCGAACAAACAAGCACTGGAAATAAAGTAACAATAAAGCAAATAAGACTAAGCGTCGTCACACCCGCATCCCGAATTAGGAGACTCTTCTCGATGAACAGAACACCTGAACTCCTTGACCAGCAAGGTCGAGAATCGGCATCATACAATCTGGAATGCGAGCGAATTCGGAGATTCCAAGCTCGATCCATTCTCCGGGGTGAGAGCTGAGGATGTGAAGTTCTCGCGATATCGCATTAACCCTGCGTTGCATTCGATGAATCTTATTTCGAAGTTTCTTCCGTTCCAGCGTTAACTTCTTGTGTTGAATCGCAAGCGCTTTGATAAATGCCATCGCAATTTCTTAGTCTCTGTCTGGGAGGTCCTTGATCAGAGCGCACGGAGTTTGGATCTGAGACCTAAAAACGCCGCGGGATGAAGAAGGCTGCTTACCGGTTGCGTCTCCGTCCATCATTTTAACCCTGGAGAAATCAGGCATGGACTCTGAACATCGGAGGTTGAATTCCATACCTGCAAAAGGAAAAAAGAATGGTGAGGAATAAAGAGAAATTGAAGCCTCAATTTATAGGGACATCACGTCCCTAGTAAGCTGCATTTTCCATCCTGGAATGGAGCGATTCGCGGAGAGATTTAAGCCTCTTGAAGAATCCTGCATTTAAAGACGTATCTTTGGGAATATTTCGAGAAAAAGGAAAGTACTCAAAGTTTCCATAAATAAAAGGACCGGAGCCCATCATGAGTTTAAAAGTTTTTTAAGAAAAAGAAAAGAAAAGCAGGATTAGGGAACATTTATGGAAGAGGCTCAGGAACAGACTCCTTCATCGCCGGTTTGGTATCCGAAGTGGACGCCTTTTTCTTGTCATCCACCTCGGGTTCGTTCCGGACGCGTTTCCGGCAAGTGTTGTCCTCCTCTTCATCCTCCTCTTCGCTGCTAGATGAAGCGATTTCGACCGGGGCATTCACGGGCCCCGGGACTTGACCTTTAGCTCGGAAGTACATCCGGAGCATCTTCGGGATCTCTGCGATGGAATCAAAGTTCCTCCACTCCCATTGGAAAGGATCGCTTTCCAAAGCCCTCACTTTCCCTTCCACTCGAGTGATACGAGCTTCGAGTACTTGCCTTTTAAGGCCCAGCCGCTGCCGTTCATCGCACAAACGGCGATGTTTGTCGACGACCTGCCGCAGAAACAAGTAAATTGAAAAGGAGGGGAGAAAAGTTCAATCCAGAACTTGAAAAATGAACACACATTGTTCTATCACAATTCTATCATTCTCACTTCTAAAACTTGAAAAATGAACACACATTGTTCTCAAATCAAGTAGTCTTTCAATCCTAGCTTTATGGAACCTAATACCACCCAATGAAACCACAATCCCCTAAAATCCCTACAATTTTCGTTTTTCTCTTTTCTCAAGAACCCTAACATATGACATTTCAAAATTTCTTTCAATCAAGCATAATGTCAACTAGGGGATCGATTCTATCAAGCATAGGCACCATTAAAACTCATTCTCTCTCAAAAATCGAACTCAAACAAGCCTGATATTCAAGTTCTTGAGATAAAAGCATAAAGAGTGTGAGAATGACTTTTGTACCTTGAAATTGATGGAGAAAGAGATGAAATCGGGATTTGAGGCAGGAATTAAACATTTGGGCTTAGAAATTCGGATTGAAAGAAAGCAAGAAATTTCAAAGGATTTGGTGTAGAATTGGAAGAGAAATCGATGGATTTGTGTTGTGAAGTGAGAAAGAATCGTGAAGAAGAATGGATCGATTTTGGGAAGAAGAAGAAGAAGAAGAAGAAAACCAGCCCAAAATCGATTTTGACTATCCTTGGTTCACTTAAATTGAACCGGTGTAAACCGGTCAACAGGGAAGGAGTTGACTTTACCTGGGATCCAACGGTGTGTGTTTGACCGATGGGTAGCTACAGGTTACGTTTGGCCGCTGGAGGAGCCCGCTAAAGTCTCTGGAAATTTCGGCCAAAACCTGCTACGGTCACCCAGTGACCGATGGCGTTTGCCCGCTGTACTCCCTGGAATTTTCGACCAAAATTCTCTTCGACCACTAATCTGTCCGATGTCTTATGTCTCTTTTGCCGATGCTTATGGCCGATGTACACACTTGGAATTGCTAAACTCTTCAAAACCCACGTGAAGCCTCACTTCTCCGTAGACCTATAACCAAAACAAGCAAAAAACATAAATCATCTTTTCCGGTTATTTTGTAACGTCAAAACTTTTCTGATCACTCTCTTTTTGAGGGTTGTTTAATAAAATTTATAATTATTAAAAAAAAAAAAAGACAAGCAAAAAACATAAAACAAAACAAAATAAAGCATGTATATACAAGGATACCATGGGATTGCCTCCCAAGCGCGCTTGTTTTTCGTCACATAGCTTGACGTTTTCTCGTCATTTAGGCGGATTGAGGCTCCGAGAGAGAAACCGTGGTTCCTTCCTCGACTTGATCACTTGCCATGTATGGTTTCAAACGTTGACCAATTCACAACAAATTCACTTCCCTTCTTGTTCCACAACACAATCGCACCATAAGGCCTTACTTCTTTGATCTTAAGCGGACCCGACCAACGAGATTTGAGCTTTCCCGGAAAAAGTCTCAAACGGGAATTAAACAACAACACTTGGTCATCCACCGTGAAATCTCTTGAAAAATTCCAGAAAAATACCCCATCTATTTTCAATTTGGATGTTTAGTACATGAACTTTTTCGGTTAGAATAAAAATACCTCATATATTTATACTAGTCATTTACCCGCGCGTATTTTATTGTTTATTTAATTGAGTTTGTTATATTTTTGATTAATTACATTATCTCTTTACATATTGTCTATTTTGTTTATTAGTAAATAAATATTGTTTTATTGTTACTTTTTCATATGTGTTTTTAAAATGAGAATTCATGTTTTGTTCCTATCTATCTCATTTATGTTTGAAAATTTTGTAAGACATAATTTAGATAGATTTTATATTCTCAAAAATTATCGGTTTTGTTCTATTCCTGATAAATCTCATCATAATTTAAGTTTACATTGGGTTAGTCCATTCACATTTTAATGCATATTATATATATTCATAATAAAACATTCACTTTAAAAATATAAAATATTATTTATAAATTAGTTAGTATAATCGAAAATTAGTAAATTTATTATTTTTTATATCAATTGTGTTTTTTAGTTTTATAATATAAAATATAAGAAAAGACCTATCATATTTCTTTTTCAAAAACTTGTTTACATATGTATAAATTTTAAAATAAAATGATAAAATGTATAAATAAAATTTTGAATTGAATAATTAAATGATTAGGATGATGAGGTGACTTAAGGAGAAGAGAGAAAAGCCTACTATAATATAAATTATAAGAAAAGACTTTTCATATTCCTTTTTGGAAAACTTGTTTACATATGGTAAATGTTAGAATTTAATGATAAAATAATATAAATAAATTGTAAAAATTAAATTATCAAATGATGTGGATGATGATTAGGATGATGAGGTGGCGGAATGAGAAGAGAGAAAAATGCCACTTTATATATATATAGATTATGTTTTTTAGTTTTATAATATAAAATATAAGAAAAGACCTTTCATTTCTTTTTCAAAAACTTGTTTACATATGTATAAATTTTAAAATAAAATGATAAAATGTATAAATAAAATTTTGAATTGAATAATTAAATGATTAGGATGATGAGGTGACTTAAGGAGAAGAGAGAAAAGCCTACTATAATATAAAATATAAGAAAAGACTTTTCATATTCCTTTTTGGAAAACTTGTTTACATATGATAAATGTTAGAATTTAATAATAAAATAATATAAATAAATTGTAAAAATTAAATTATCAAATGATGTGGATGATGATTAGGATGATGAGGTGGCGGAATGAGAAGAGAGAAAAATGCCACTTTATATATATAGATTTGGTCAAATAATACATCATCTCTAAATTATTGGTAGATTCGGACACTCGACTTAACAATCGTTAACGAACGTTAGAAAAACCTCAAACCCGGGTTTGACATCTCTAACTGCACTTTTGAAGGTTTATCATGTAAATTTGGAGTGTTAGAGGTTGATTTGGAAGACAAACTCAAAGATACGTCGTCGTTTGGAAAGGGAAACGAATCTCAGCTAATCTTCTATGTAAGATTGAAGTAAAAATTAGGGATTGTATATATAATCAGATTGTATATATTTATTTAGTAAGATTAAAAGTTAATGCCGTAAATAATTTTCTAACGTCCGTTAACGGTTGTTAAGTCGCGGGTTTGAATCTACCAATAATTTAGAGATGATGTATTATTTAACCAACTATAAATATATGAAGTATTTTTATTCTAACCAAAAAGTTCATGTATTAAACGTCCAACTTTAAAATAGATATGGTATTTTTTAGAATTTTTCCGTTTAAAAGATAACTCCATTTACTGTTCACGTTAGACTAGTTAACGGACTTTACGGTGTAGGTTGGAAAAGGGGATTTTTAGAACTGATGTATTGAACGACATAAATTTATTAGTTGGGGTATTAATCGGGGAGTCGGAAAAGCTCGTGTATTTTTCTTCCAAAAATAAAAAAAGTTTGAGATTTTTTTGAGAATTTTCCCTATCAAAAAGATCAAAAATGACCTGAGTTATAAAAGAAACGGATATAACAGCGGATAATAGATAATGGCTAATAAATAAATGATACTAATAAAGAGTAGGGAAGGAAAAAAGCAATTATATGAGAAAAGGATTGATTAATTTAAGATTCTATATATATGAAGTAGGCTTTTTCTCTCTTCTCCTTAAGCCACCTCATCATCCTAATCATCATCCACATCATTTAATTATTTAAGTTTATGAATTTATTTATATTATTTTATCATTTAATTTTAAGTTATACACATATGTAAACAAGTTTCTCAAAAAAGAATATGAAAAGTCTTTTTTTATATATTTTATATTATAAACTTAAAGAAGATAATTGATTGAAAAATAATAAATTTATTAATTTTTGATTATACAAACTAATATATAAATAATAGACTATAGTTTTAAAGTGAAACTTTTATAATGAATATATATCCACTAAAAGTAATATGAAACAAAATTTTATAGGATTAACACGATGTACATTTAAATTACGATGGGATTTAACGGGAAAAGAACAAAACCAAAAATTTTGAGAAAATAAAATCTATCTAATTTATGTGTCACAAAATTCTCGAACATAAATAAGATAGATTGGGACGAAACGTAAATTGTCATTTTAAAAACACGTATAAAAAAGAGAGCAATAAAAAACAAATTCTTTAAATATTTTGATATGAATTTAATTAATTTTTTTCAATACATCACATATGTTAAAATAATAAACAAAATAAAAATTAACAATATTTCAAAATAATTGGAAATTAAAATAAAAACATAATTCAATGAAATGAACTAATAAAAAGTAAATTATCTTAATATGTTAAAATTTTAAATTATTCCATATGATAATACGGCAAAATTTATAAAACAAAAAAACAGAAATTGAATATATAATAGTATAGAAATGATTGTAGCAAACCAAACCAAAACCAAATAATAAAAGTGAAGCTAAAATTCTACACTATACACTTAATTTCTCAAGCACTATTGAAGCTAAAATTCAACAAGTTTTCTATACAAACACAATCTAAGATTAAAAAAAAAGTATGTTATAGTATAGGAAAAACTCCCGCGAGTAGCGCGGGCAACCTACTAGTATTATATAAATGTAACATGGGGAAAGCTTCACATGGGAAATTGGCACGTGAATTTGCTTCATACAATATGAACCAGACCCACATAAACTTTTTTTTACTAAACTTTAATCTATCCATAAATTTACTACTAATATTTTCGGATTATCAATTTGATTACATGAACCTTTATTCTATCTATAGTGAGATTATTTAACAAGAGATGAGAATTAGTACTGAATAATGGGAAAGAGCCAAAAAGGGAAGGGACTGTAAAGAGCCAAAAAGGGAAGGAACTGTGAAGAGGTCAAGTGGGGTGTTGCAAACAACATATAAATTGGCTCCAGCTGTTCCTGATTTCAGTTCTCAAACATTAAATTTCGTTATTTTGCTAAAACAAGATATTGTTTTTTTATTGATCCCATTCAATTAGCTTTCTGTCTATATTTTGTCCACTTGTGGGATGTCTCTATATGCAATTGCAGTGCATTTATTTGAACTACAGAAGGACTTGGATATATGTCTTAATCTCTTGCTTCGTCATATGGTTTTTGGTTTGATAGTTTTTTATTGGTCGATGTTTTATAAAACATATTGATTTTGATTGATAACTATCTTTTTTTAGCAGTACCGTATAAAGATCATTAGTAAAATTCCGAAAGTAGAAACAGTGTTTCCATACGATGGATTTATATTGTTTTACGACAAATAACTCGAAATTTTGAATCGTAAAATTATATAAGAAACTAGCCGGTTTCCCGCGCTACTCGCGGGATTTTTATTACGTTATTTAGAAATAATTACATTGTATTTTATTTTCTACTTATTTCCTCCACTATAGCATTTTTTTTATCTTAAATTGTGTTTGTATAGAAAATCTATTGTATTTTAGTTTCGATAGTAGTTGAGAAATGAAATGTGTATAGAATAGATCGATGTGTGGATATAAACGGAAGTGTTATGGAAATTCATAGAAAAAATTATTATTAGGACTCCCAGCAAACATAGATCTAGATGTTAATATTGTGGACCTTTTAATATGTTAACCCGAAAGTTGAGAATGATTTGTGGGCTGCGCGCGGATTGTTACTTTTTTATTTGTTACATCATCTCTTTATATATTATCATAATTTTTTTATGTTTATTTTATTGGATTTGACGTAATTTATGTATCGTTATGATCATTTTTATACTATTACATATCCATTTCTTATTTTTCGTTTTACATATTTTTCGTAATTTCATATGGAACAATTTTAAAATTTAATGTATTAGTATAATTTACTTTATATTTAGTTCATTTCATTTAATTCTATTTTTTAATTTAATTTTCAATTTTTATGTTTTTTTTTCTTTTAACATATGTGATGTATTGGAACAAATTAGTTAAATTCATATTGAAACCCTTTAAAAAAGTATTGTTTTTATTGTTACCTTTCTCATACGTATTTTTAAAATGAGAATTCATGTTTCGTTCCAATCTATCTCATTTATGTTCGAGAATTTTGTGAGACATAAATTAGATAGATTTTATATTCTCAATTTTTTTTTGTTTTTTGTTATATTTCCGTTAAATCTCATTATAATTTAAGTTTATATTGTGTTAGTACAATCAACTTTTGTTTCATATTATTTTTAATAGATATATATTCATTATAAAACTATAATCTATTATTTTTTTTATATTAGTTAGTATAATAAAAAATTAGTAAGTTTCTTATTTTCTTTTATTTTTAATCAATTTTATTTAGTTTCTAGATAAAAATATAAGAGAAGACCTTTCATATTTCTTTTTGAAAAAAAACTTATATACATATGACTAAATCTTAAAATTAAATGAGAAAATGGTATAAATTAACTCTAAAAACTAAATAATAAAATGATGTGGATGATGATTATAAAATATAAGAGAAGACCTTTCATATTTCTTTTTGGAAAAACTTATTTACATACGACTAAATCTTAAAATTAAATGAAAAAATAGTATAAATAAATTCTTAAAACTAAATAATAAAATGATGTGGATGATGATTAGGATGATGAGGTGGCTTAAGGAGAAGAGAGAAAAGTTAACTCGGGACCATCTGTTTTTTGCCTGCCCTTATTCATTCATGGTGTGGATACAGGTTGTAGGTGACCTGTTACATACGGACCCGGATCCTGACCGGACCGTGACTATCCATAGGTTAACCACACACCCATTCGTGAGGTATGACTACATTCTACTCCGTTTGTGTTTCCAAGCTACCATATACTATATATGGCGTGAACGGAATGAGAGAAGGCACAACAAGATCTATCGTGCACACTTACAACTAGCTCGTACGATTGAGAGGGTTATTCGGTCAAGGATCATGTCTTTGAGATACTTTGAGCATACGAGGCTCCGTGGTTTATTACTTCAACGGTGGTTCAGCTCAAGACCCAACCATTAGTAGCTCTTTGCTCTGTTTTAGTCCCGAGGCATTTTTATGTTTTTGAGTGTTTAATCTCTGTTCTGTTTTTGTTGTAAATAACGCTTTTTCTCCTCAATAAATTTCACATTTCATCCAAAAAAAAAATTTCATATTACGATTATTAGTTGAATCTTACAAAAATTCCTGGACTTTTCCTAACTTAAAAGCGTCAAGTTTACTTTAAAAAAATGTAAATATGATGATGTGTTGACTTAAACCATTTCACAAATAAAAAGTATGTGTTGACTTTTATTACAAATTGTTTAAATTTTAATTTAAATTATATCGGACATAAGAGAAGATAGCTAAAAAGATTTTAAAAGAATAATTAAATTACTAAACTCAAAAGTAACCAAGATTCATACAAACTTAGCAAAAACCTTAAAAGAGGAAAATAGTTCAAAAGCAAAACATAACCTCCTAAGAAAAAGACTAACAAAAACACACAAATATGCCAAAATCAAACAGTCAAAAGAAAAGTCTGTATACCGGTGATGGAGTGTACCCAGTCCCAAGATGTGGAGAGTGAGTAAGAGGAGTTGCTTGAAGCCAGAATTAGTGTTGGTGAACGAGGCGCTCTCCTCTTCCTCCTTTGGCGACGCTTATAAGAAGAAGCTCGCGGAGGATCATGAACCACCATTTCTTGAGTGTGAGTGCCTTGGAAAGAATACCTTGCATCTCTATCTTCGTCCATTGGGGTTGGTTGGTTCTCTCCCGTCGCCTCCACGTCATCCCGTGTAGAGTTAGAGCATCCCACGTGTGAGAGCTTGGTTTCCACGGTCTTCATTTTCCCATTCATGCTCTTAATCCCTTTGACAAGCTTCTTTATCGTTCTCCCTTGCCACTTGACAAACCGTTGGAGAAGGTGGATGTGGGTGTGAGCTTCCCGAAGAGCTTTATCCGCTATGGCCTCGTCATAGGGCTTGAAGTCATATCGCGCTTGGCCATAAACCGCACTACTAACTTTGCAGTTGTGGAGGCTGAGTACTTAAAAGACAGTCCGAACGTGGTGGTACCTTTGAGATATCGTAAGCATTGCTTCATTGCAGCTCCGTGAGACTCCTTTGGGCTCTGCATATATCGACTTAACACACCTACAACAAAAGACAAGTCAGGTCTTTTAGTTTTTACTTATACTTTAACTATTTTCTCTTGGATATGGTCAAGTTCTTTGCTATTTATAGTTCGAACGTTAAAAATAAAGCGGCATCTCTTAACAACGTACTAAGATTTAACCTGCGGTATACCGCGGGATAATTTTGTTTTACTCAATCTTAAATAAATTAACTTGTTTTAATATGTTTCTTATTATAATATGATGTGAAGAAAATAATTAAAAAAAAAAAAATTAACCCCTGTAACATTCGATTAATGATATTGTATATTTATGTTAATATCGATCCAAACCCATCTTGTCATATAATCCCGTAATATTTTAAACTTTTATAAGTTTAAATATTCATAATATTTTAAACTTTTTGTAAAATTTAAATATATCGATAATAATATTTAAAATTTTAAAAAATTAAAATTTATTATATATAGTCTAATTAAACGGTTCAAACAAATAACTGAATCATTATTTTGAATTTTAAGAAAATCTTTTAAATATCTCTAATATTAATTATAATTACATTCATCGTAAATCAGTCTCAACCCCAAACATATGTCAAATATTTTATGCTTTTCAGTAGAAGCCCACTAAAGCTTGCATGGGCCTTTGATCAAGGGACTCTAAAGCCCGATAAG